GAGGAGGACCCAGTAGAGAGTTTTGGGAGCGGATATAAAAGCGAAGAAATTAATACCATTCTCAAAGCTGGGGACCTCCAGTAATGGCAAGCAAGGAAGAGGATTTATAGTGCATGAACTGAGATTGTTAACAGCAACCCGAAGGAGGATCAAACAAGCCGGAAGGAGAAGACAACAGAGGAAGCTCCTCCACGTCAGCGACACTAAAAGTACCCAGCACGCAAAGAAGCGGTTCTGAATGTGCCCAGAAAAGGCTTTTTTATTAACAGAAACTCAAAGGAACATTACTAACATACTAACAGAGAATTTCATGTGACCGGAAACTAAGAAAAGAAGTTTGACAACACACAGAAGAAGCCCAAGAAGATTAATTGGACATTACTAACAGTTTAATTTACCAGTTTATATATCACTCAGCTTTCTCTTTCTCCCACTGTCTACCCTTCCCATTTCTTCTTTTAAGCGAAATACCTCCCCTTTTTAGGGGAGTCAATAAAATCTTTATTAAAAAATTTTTTTAAAAAAAAAACTAATATTTTTTTTTTGCAAGCCTGGGGAGGTGTCCAGATGTATGCAGAAATCCCAACATCTAATGGCAGCTTCATTTTATTGCCCTACAGATAGGTACAAGACCATCAAGTTTGCTATAAAGTGAGTGCTATGAATCAGTGACAACCCCTCAGCCAAGTCTGGAGAATAGCAAATCCTACCTGTCTGAACTGTTCATTACAGCAAGCTAGAATCTTGTTTAACAGAGCAGTCCAAAAGGCACTGAGATTCAAACTTCAGTGCAGTAGAAACAAGTCCCTCCCCCCCTTCACTGTTGCTGGTGCGGTCCTCCTTGTTTTGTTTTAGTTTGACAGATTCTGGCCGTTCACCATTGCTTCCCCTTGCAACGGAAATGTTAATGGAGGCTCCAGAGCACTGTATTATGCTCAACATCAAAGGCATGCAGCACCACGCGGAAGATGCAAAGCAGGGAGGAAGTTGGATGCCCATTTCCTAACATTCTGATGACGGCAGAATTTCCAAAAGATGCGGAGGAGGGGCGTTAGTTGGCAGATAAAGAGGGCATAAAAGGCAGGAGGAATAGATGGGTGCCAACTGATGGAAGACAGAGCTGTCTGCAGTGTATTCTCCACCAACTTGGGAAGAAGTGATTTTTAGAGACGGGCATCATGGATCAAGAGGAATACAGACAGAGAGGTGAGGAAACAGAAGGTTGAAGGGAGGTTTGGCAATGCTCATCCAGCTTGGGTAGTGCTCTGAGCTCGGTGGAACCTTGCGTGGTCTTTAAAAGGTTGAACAAATCTGTGGAACTGCTATTTGCCTTGATTTGCTATTTGCCTTGACCCAGAGCCCCCTTGTTCAGAGAGAATCTCTCTCTGGATACTAGGTGCGGTAGTTTTATTCCTTACTTATGAGCTCTCCAGAGGCACTTGGCAAAAGAAAGCTAGTCTGCAGGTCCCATTGGTCAGATCCAGCAGGGCACCTGGTTGAAATATTTTGCCAGAAACGTATGAACCTTTTTGTCATGCCTGCCTGCTTTCGGCACTGACAGCATCTCCTGACCTTTGCTAACAGAAAGGATTTTAGAACCTGATCTTTGAACAATGATACCCCACCATCAAGTCTCACGCCTGCCCCCAACTTTTCAAGGCAAGCCACTCTCTCTCTCTCTCAGCCTCCAGCCCACCCCCAGTCTGGAATATGAAGATAAAACATTCCTAGCGTGCAGTTGCTACCATCCAATGAAGTACGATATTGAAGCTTCATGAATCAAAACAAAAGTAGTCTAAAAATACTACTGGATTTTCTTATTATTTTGTACAAAGAAAGTAACACTTAAAGTGTAATGGGGTTATTCATAGGGACATAAGTCTGCCGTGTTCAAAGGTAAGTCATTTGGTAATTCTCAGTCTAATGTATGACCAGCTTTCTTGGAGAAGTATTAGGAGTTTGAGCAGACAGCCAGTGAAATTAATTGTGGGGGGAGTGCCTCATTTGTAAATGCAAGCCGTCTGTTTTGATGCAGCAGGAGATGACCGTGCATGTCTGAAACAGCCTCCTATGGTGGATGTCTTGTTCAGAATTTGATTTTTCTCCTTCTTCTTACAGGGAAAGAAATGGTGGATTACATTTTTCAGTACTTGACCACGCTGAGAGAGAGGCGGGTGTCTCCTGATGTGAAGCCTGGATACATGAGAGGCCAGCTGCCCCACAGAGCCCCCTTGGAGTCGGAAAGCTGGGACAACATCTTCCAGGACATTGAGAAGATCATTATGCCTGGGGTAAGGGCATGCAGTGGGCATGCTAAGGAGGCTGGGATTTGGGTTGCTGTGAATTCTCAGCTCAAGACAAAGGTAACGGATGAAATCTGCATTTGGCATAGCTTTTTAGTTTCCAAACAGGATATCTCCAGAAATGGAGGTCAGAGGCAGAAAAATGACCCAAATTTGACTCCAGAAGCACACTGCCTTCACACCACTTCTTGCTCAGGGTGTGTTGTCCACAAAAGGCCTTTAAAACATTTGTTTTATGAGAAACATTGACTGGAACAGGAGCTGTTCCTCATCTGGTCTACTTAATGTCACTCACAACAGCATTGTATGGGAGTAGAAGAAGGGGCTGCAATTAGGGGGAAATAGATATGGCTACCACTCCCCCCCCATGCTCCTGTTATCTTAAATTTGAAGTAATGCCACCATAGTGGTAAGGGGGGAATGGCTGCACTGAAATAACCAGCTGCACTGCTCGAAGTGCTAGAGAAAACGGTTGCACACATAAAAGCAACACATGTTGCACCGATATTTTAGTGAATCGTATTGTACTGTATTGTTTTATATTGTTTTTATTGTTTTAACCTTGGCATTTATGCCTCGTTGTAAGCCGCCCTGAGCCTTTGGGGAGGGTGGGATATAAATCCAAAAATAAATAAATAAATAACTAAATACATGTGTTGTGGGCAATAAGATCTCTGCAGTATTGCCTGTGACTCGCTTTTGACCAAGGCGTGCAAAGGGACAGAACCTTGTTTGGAAATAGCAACTATGGATCATCCCATAGTAGTTTTAGACCAGGTACTGCAGCCCACTAGCAGCTCCAAGGCAAATCAAAGAAACTGAGAGAATATTCATGTGGGGAGGGGCTGTGGATCAGTGGTAAAGAACCTGCTTTGTATGCAGAGCTGTGAACCCCCCCCCCCCCCAGTTCACATCTTGCCTCTGTCACAAACTTACTAGGCTGGTCCTAGGTGACTCTTCTCGCAGTCTCAAGCTGCCATCCACCATATGGAGATAATGCTAGCCTACCTTATAGAGCTGTCGTAAGAATTCCTGAAATAATGTTCATGGAACATTCTAAACACTAGAATTGTGCTGTGCGGACCATGAGGGTAGATGCAAAAAAGAACAGAGGTATTATCTGAGATGATGGAAAGGGATAAACCCGAGGGCAATTCCATGCTGCACACGATGCTTGATTTTTTATTTATTTTTTTATAACAGTTTCAGATAAATGTTCCTTTTTGTGTAGCACCCTTTGCTCCATTAAGATCTGAGATTAAACCACTGGGAACCATTGGACATAACTAAAAGATATTAGACTCTGATGGAAAATGATTGCTGTTTCCTGTTTAAGAAATATATCTCATCCATGTGTTTCACTGAGATAAATTCTTTTGCCTAGGTTTGTGGCTTATCTTCTGTACGCACTCGACTACATTTCCTTTACCACCTTCAGTTACCAGATCTGAGATGCACGCATCAGAGGGCCTACTGTCCTCTCCTTTCATGTACAGTTAGCAAAGGAGGAGTGGGTCTCCAGTATTTTATACATGTTGCATAAAAGATAGACATTTTGCTGGGGTAGGTTTTCTTGCTCCTGCAGGACAGATTCCTGTCTTCTGCGTCAAAATTCTGAAGCCTCGCTTTCCTTTGCATCCTCATCATCTTCCTTTCTTGACTGGATTTTTGCTCTCTAACAGTCTGGTCAAGCTATTCGTATGGTTTTATATTTTTCTGACTTTTCAACCTAGGTTGTCCATTGGCAGAGTCCACACATGCATGCCTACTTTCCGGCTCTCACCTCGTGGCCATCTTTGCTGGGGGACATGCTGGCAGACGCAATTAATTGCCTGGGATTCACTTGGGTAAATTATGTGGCTTGGTTTAAGAATTTTGATGCTGTTTTGATGTCTTTCGTTAGTGTTACAAACTGAAGTCTGTCGGCTGACGAAAGATCTTTGTCACTGACTAGCCTTTTTAAATCATTCATTTACTGAATTTCCGTAAATTTTGCAAATTATTTAGAACAGTATAGGTGTCTTTTGAAATTATGGCATAAATTTTATGACTTATTTTTAATGCAAAGTTATCATACAATAAATCCTTACGGGGTTTTATAATTGTAAAAGGGATTAACATTCATACGTAATTCACTATTAAAAACACATACACAAAATAAAAACTAAATTAATTCCTACAACAATGAGAGATGGTTGCCCTGGAATATCTTTTCATTTCTTTTCTCCAGACAATTTCACCAGTGCAGCCCCCCTCAGACTCTGCCCCATTTAGAGTTCGTTTTAACGAAAGCGGCCATCCTGTGTATATTTACCTGGGATGTTTAGTCATGCCGGCCACATGACGACGGAAATGTCTTCGGACAGCGCTGCCTCTTGGCTTTGACACGGAGATGAGCACCGCAACCGTAGAGTCGGATTCGACTGGCTTTCGAGCAAGGGAACCTTTACCTTTACCTAAACCCCATTTAATCTGGTAGAATTGACTTCTGCACAAACATACAGTCTTCTGGCACTCTAAAGAATGACAGATTTATGAAAGCATAAGATTTCACTGGCTGGAGTTCACTTCATTGGATGCATGGTGTGAATTCCTGCTCAGCAGATACAGAGTCACAGAATCATAAGAGTTGGAAGGGGCCTTAGAGGCCATCTAGTCCAACCCCCTGCTTAATGCAGGATCAGCCTAAACCTGAAGCATCCCTGACAAGTATTTGTCCAGCTGCTACTTGAAGACTGTCAGTGAGGGGGAGCTCAGGACCTTTCTGGGCAGCAGATTCCACTGCTGAACTATTGTGTGTGTATTCACATACACAGAGAGAAATGCTTTGAAACTCAGGAGGTATTTTTGCATACCTATGCAGAATTTAAGAGCATACAGAATTAGCGTAGTGACTGTTGGCACAGTTGCAACTGGTGATAATGATCTTCCTAGTTACGTTATTTAATTCCTGTGGTGAATGAGCCAAATGAACACTAGATGGCATGAATGTACAGTGTTTTGCACAATGCAGCTGCTAAGGGAGGTCCAGCGACTGCCAGCTGTAATATATAAAAGCATCTGCCATAGCTCAGCTTGACTTTTTTGTACCTATAAATGCTGGGGAGGGTGGGGAGGGCGAGTGCTCAGTGGTTGCCTGGCAAGCACAGCCCGTCTTTTTCTTTCCTTTGACTGAGCCAGAGAATTATAGAACTGCCCTGGTGCATGAGAGCTAGCAGTTGCCTTTGGCAAACATGAATACTTGGGGACGAATATTGGTCCATGCCACCCCACTCCAAGAAGTGGACTAGTTATACTGGATATGGATATGGCTGGACCTGAGAAAATGCTGTTAGAAAAGGATAGTCAATATAAAGGGAAAGGAAGATGGAGGGTACATAATACATCTGGGACATAATATCGGTAAAAGAAGCAACGGCGATCACTATACTCTTGATCAATGGTGATTCCCCATGTGGTGTGTTCTGTGTAGCTGAGTGTGAGGCCCCAACTAAATATGACATGCAGTTTATGTACCTTCCTGCCCCCTTTTAAAAAAATTACCAAATGCAGTCCCAGGAAGTCTGGATTTGAAGCCAGTGTGGTGCGGATGGCTGTCAGATTAGAAGCCCAGGTGCAGATCCCGACTCTGCCCTGGAAATCTGCAGGGTGACCTTGGGCCAGTCACTCTCCCTCAGCCCTAGCCTACTTGGCAAGGCTGTTGTGATAATAAAATGGAGGAGGGGGAGCCATGAACACCACCCTGAGCTTCTTGGAGGAAGACGTGGATAAAAATATACTAGATTTGAGTGGAGGAACAGAAGAGACTGTTTCGATCTCTTTCACTCCAGCCATTTTTTCTGGTCAAATCCAGTGATTCTCTCTCACACACACACCCTGGCAGCTTTTCATTAGAAAATATAAACATCAGAAAATATAACAAGAGCACTGACTTGCGGGGGGGGGGGAGCTGGCACTCTTTAGCTGTGTGGTCTAGTGGTGAGACCCAGGTTCGAATCCCCACTCATGCCATGGAAGCTTGCTGGGTGTTCTTGGGGGCCAGCCACACACTCTCAGCCCAAACTGCCTTGCAGGTTTTGTTGTGAGGATAAAATGGTGGGAAGGAGGCCAGTGTAAGCCTCTTTGGGGTCCCCCAGTGGGGAGGAAGGCAGGGAACGAATGAAATCCATAAATAAATAATAAACTTTCTGAAAAGCATGTCGATTACTTAGGAGACAGGATCTGGGCTGCCAGGAAGGATTGTCTAACTGATGCAACGGGTCTTACTCGTTTTCAGGCATCCAGTCCCACCTGCACAGAATTGGAAATGAACGTGATGGATTGGTTGGCTCAAATGTTGGACCTTCCTGATATGTTCCTGCACTATCATCCAGACAGCAGGGGTGGAGGCATATTACAGGTAAATGACTGACACTGGAGGGCTGTTGTGTGGATTTTTTTTTTTAAAGTCTCTTCAGGGGGCACAAGATCCAGCTCACTTTGCTGCAACTAAGCAGGTCTGGGGCTGTTCAGTACCAGGATGCGAGACCTCTTGGGACTCCTGTTTAAGTCCCTCTCTGTTCCTGCTGTTTCATGACTGAAGAAAGGCTGGATAGAAATGTAATCATACTTTTTTAAGGTATCATGCAGAATGGATTGCATTCAATGGTAGTTAGTTAAAGGTTAGTTTTGGATTTGTAGCCTGCATTGGCAACACCACCAGTTCTCTAGGGTAAAAAGAGAGTTTTCTGATCTCTTCTGCAGCTAATAATTGGTTCTTTCTTCACAGAGCACTGTTAGCGAATCAACTTTGGTTGCTCTGCTGGCTGCAAGAAAGAATAAAATTCTAGAAATGAAAACACTAGAGCCAGATACGGACGAATCAACTCTAAACTCTCGGCTCGTCGCTTATGCCTCAGATCAGGTAGATTGCTGCTGGCACACATAAACTGGTTTTCTGTGGTATTATTGGATGTGCATCTTAGTCCTTGCTGCCAGGGCCTGAGTGTAGGGTGCAGTATACGACAGTCACATCACAAGAGTGTGACAACAGGATAAAAAGGAGACGCTTTACTGGAAAGTGCGTGGGATCTGGTAGGTTAGCCCTGGACCGGGTTACTGGATCTGGAATCATTAATGATGGAGGACAGACCTGGCCTACTTTCCAGACTTGATGCAAAGACTGCGGATGTTGATGCAATGGATGTGAAGTGCATTGAGCACTTAGGAAATATGCTTTATAGTCAGTATTTGTATTTGCATCCTGGGTCAGTAACTAAAAGTTTTGCTGGAGGACCGCTTTGAGAAAGCTTCCTCCATTTCTCTCTGTCACCTACTATTACAAATTTGTTTTCTTCTGTTCACATTTGTTTTCTTCCTGAGCTGGCAGGAAGCAGGAAGCAATCTTCTGGAGGCCAGTTTTTGCCACAAAGCCTCCAGTGGCTGACTGATTATATAGAGAGAGCTTTTTCCAGCATTTTGTTTTTCTTATGCATGTACTTGTAAGGCTATAAAGAGGACAGGCATTTTTTTGGGGGGGACTTTTTATTTATTATTTATCATAGCATATTCAAACATGTATTGATACATATATACATACATCATTTATGAGTCTATTTTTTACTTTTTTCCTCAATCCATTTATATACTCTAAACCATCTTTTCTGAGATATCTTATAATCCTTTCCTTGCAATATTACATTCAGTTTGTCCATTTCTGCCACTTCTAATAGTTTCATAGCTATTCTTTTGTTGGAATCTTTTCTTGTTTCCAATACTTTTCTATTAGTATTCTAGCTGTTGTGAGAATGTAAGTCAATAAATATACATCATTTTCCTGATAGCCATTGGGAATTATATTTAACAGCTAAATCTCTGGACACGGTTTTAAGTTAATATCTAATATTTCCATTATTATTTTACTTACATTTTGCCAAAATTTACAAATTTTTCCGCATCTCCACTACATGTGGAAAAAGGTACCTATATTGGCTTTACATCTCCAACAATTTAAACTTGCTGTTTTGTACACTTTGGCTATCTTTTCTGGTGTCCAATACTACCTATGAAATATTTTAAATACATTTTCTTTGAAAGTTACTGCTCTCATTAGTTTCGCTGCTTTCCATGTTTTAAGCCAATCCTCTATTTGAATAGTTTTTCCCAAGTCTTTCATCCACATAATCATTGAGTTCTTTATTATCTTTATCAGGCATCTTTAACTGTAATTGTCCTGCAGCCAGATGCTTCCTGACCAGCCCAGCTAGCTATTCAGTGCCTGAAATCTGTTCTGCTTCTCTTCTCAGGCCCACTCTTCCGTGGAAAAAGCGGGGTTGATCTCCCTTGTGAAGGTGAGGTTTCTGCCAGTTGATGAGAATTTTTCCTTAAGAGGTGAAACTCTGAGAGAAGCCATTGAGAAGGACAGAAGCCGTGGCTTGGTGCCTTTTTTTGTGAGTAGTGATCTCTCTCTTGCCTTGTCTACTGTGGTCATGTCACTGATTATTAAGTTGTCATTTTGTAAAGTTTCTGCTTCACTTTCTAACCATTGTAAAAAGAGCAGTAGACAGAGACACGACCATCGTTTTTATATTTGTAATTTTTAACCTTTAATTCACTACAGCCAACCTAGGGCACAATGTTATCATCAATTTTTTCCCCCAGGCCACAGGAGGGAAATTAGGACTTCCCTCTAGACAAGGGATATGCATATGAGTCATGCATCTCAGGCATGCATTCAATAAGGCTCTTGGGTCTCAGAGCCCTCAGCCAATTCCTAATAGGTTTGCTTAGTTTTTGCTCAAGATGGGTAGCCGTGTTAGTATGTATGTAGCTGTAGAAAAGAGCAAGAGTCCCGTAGCACCTTAAAGACCTTAAAAATATGTGGCAGGGGAGGAGCTTTTGTGACTCTCTGCTCACTTCTTCAGATATCATTTTGCTGTGTGCTACTTGTTCTAAAGGGCCTGAGGGAGAAATCTGGGATTTTATCCTCACGGTGCAGGACGAGCAGTAGAAAAGAACTCTCCTGTGCTAGATGTCAGAAGCCATTGCAAACATGGAGAAGGGCCTACCTCAGTGGTCCCCAGCCTTTCCAAGTAGGAGGACCCCTTTACAACATTAAAAAAATTGCAACCCCTCCACACAGGATAGTAATTGTTCTTTTCGTATCTGTTGATTGAGAAAATACATAATGACAAAAAGATCAAAATGACAATGCTTAGTGCACATATGGAGTCACAGACCTCTTGCAATAACTCTGCAGGGCCCCCCCCCCCCGGGTCTCTGGCCCCCAGGTTGGGAACCACCAGTCTACCTGAAATCCTCAACTTTCCCCTTTTGCCTTTCAAGATTTGTAAATAATCACTGGGGGGGGGGGGGGAGGCTATATGGCCCCTGTTAAGAATCACTGGTTTAGCCAAATGAAGACGTGTCTTAATTTTACTGTAGCGTTTCAAAGGGTAGCTGTGTTGATCTGCAGTAACTATATTTGAGTCCAGTAGCACCTTTGAGACCAACAAGATTTTTGGGTACAAGATTTGGAGAGTTAAAGCTCCCTTTGTCTGATATACTGACGGGAGAGCCGATGGATGGAGCTTTGACTCTCGGAAGCTCAGACCCCCAAAACTGTGTTGGTCTCTAAGGCACTGCTGGACTCAGATCCAACTGTTTTCTTATTGTGTAATTCACAGTATAGGAACTTGTGTTTTATTCAAAAAAGGGACTTAAAATGGATTATTTAGGGTTTAGGGCTCATGCATATAGAGTACAATTGCAGAGTTACAATTGTAGACACACACCCTCCCCTCCAATCTCTCACCCTCCATATCCTGCAACTCTCATGCTTATCTGAACAGACCCCCACCCCCTTTTACTGTTACCTCTGTGACATCTTTAAGACTTTGAATAGCTCAGCTGGGATATCATCACCTCCACTAGCTTTGTTGTTAGTAATGATTTCTAAGGACACGAAGAGTCGGACTCGACTGTGCGACTGAACAACAACTGTGACCAGTGTTCCCTCTAAGCTGAGTTAGTGTGAGCTAGCTCACAGTTTTTTAGCTTCCAGCTCACACATTTTTGACTCAGCTCAGGAAGGGATGGCTCCAGAGCAAACTAATGTAGGCAGTAGCCGAATCGCTCGCTCACAACTTTAATGCCAGTAGCTCGCAAGGTAGAATTTTTGCTCACAGGACTCCACAGCTTAGAGGGAACATTGACTGTGACATACCTTTATGGGAACTGACATTGTGACTGGAGACAGAAGAGGGTTGTCTTTTTCTAGAGAGTTGAAAGTGGTATAATTGATCTGTATTATTGTTTTTAGGGTTTCTACTCCTCTATTTTTCTGTCAGACTTTCATCTTTAGTCAAATAGTTTTTGCAGCACTTAAAAAAACCTGGAAGATCTGTTTGGCCAGAGATGACAATGTGACAGAAGTTAAAAGTATGACATTATGGGCAGTGGTGTTGCTTTTATTCAGATCTCTTTAAAAATATTGTCTGTCTCCATTCTATGACTGGACATTTTCATTAACCAATACATTTGCAATTCTTACAGTTGGAGGGTCTGCTGTTCTTTCTTGACAAGTCTTGGGTTTTGTTTAGGTTTGTGCCACTCTGGGTACGACAGGTGTTTGTGCTTTCGACAACCTTGAAGAGCTGGGTCCAATATGTAAGTAATTGTGCTGCCTTCTTGAAAGGGTTCTTTAACCCATTTAAGTGATAAAACCAGAAACATTATCTGATGGAGCTTGGTCTAAACATGGCAAGAGAATAAAGCAGTAGAATGCTGAGAGAGTGTACCACTTCAGCCTTCAGGTGGAGGATAACATGAATGCTCCCCCCCCCAAATGTAAGATCCTCACTGAAGCTGAAGACTAGCACAGGAAGGAGGAAAGATTCAAGTCCAGTGCACTCCCTTTTGGGCTAGTTCCCCATTTACAGGAGGCCATGCCAGTGGTACAGCTCTGATACAGCTTAATTTAACTGATGAGCCTGAAGTTGAACCTCAGAAATGGGAGGTGAGAACATATGGAGGCTTTGGGACCAACAGGCCCATGTCAGTAGCCTGGTTCTACTGTGATCAAGTTTTAGGTGTTGGCCTGAGCCATTTGACTTTCACAAACCCCAGTCTTTTTTTTTTCTTTCCCTGTAGGTACTAAAGAGGGCCTTTGGCTTCACATTGATGCTGCGTATGCAGGAACGGCGTTTCTGTGCCCAGAATTCAGGCCATTTCTGAAGGGAGTTGAGCATTCTGATTCTTTCACTTTCAACCCTTCCAAATGGATGATGGTTCATTTTGACTGCACTGCCTTTTGGTGAGGGAGTTTACAAAGCAAGCCCCCATGTGGGCTTATGTACATTAGGTTCTGGGGAATCCCTTCCAGTGGCCAGTGAATTGAGTTAATTTTCATTTCCATAGGGTCAAGGATAAATGCAAGCTCCAGCAAACCTTCAGTGTCAATCCCATCTACCTCAGACATCCTAATTCGGGATCAGCTACTGATTTCATGGTGAGTTACCAGTAGATCCACAGCCAACCTTTTCCTGGGTATGGCTAAAGCTCACTATCCCTGACTCTTCACATATTATTGTATAAACGTAGGGCCACAGGGTCAAAGATGTGCAAGCCAAAGAGACACCATGCAATATACTATTAATATGTGTTCAAAAAGTGTACTCAATGTACAAAATATACAAAATCTTATTGGTGAGTTATATCTCATATAACCATGAATACAAATTAGAAGATTTCACACATACAATTCCAAATACTGCAAAGTAGAATCACATTCACATTAAAACACCAATCCATACAGTGGGAAACTTTCCCAAAATTGTTAAACCCCCTAGGGATATCTAGATTTTTTGTGCCCATTTCAACCTAGGTCTTCCTCAGGGAAAGCTACCACATATTGTTAAGAGGTGCTAAAAATGATTTATTTATTTATCAAATAAATAATGGAGCAGGCTCAGGGCATCTTACATAAAAGATTAAAACACATAGATAATTATGAACAGTCATAAAACCTTCTAAAAACAGCCCAGTATCATAAAGTGCTAGTAAACATTAGGTCTGATGGTAGTAATGTTATTTGGCTATGGCGGCAACAATTCGATGGTCTATCCTGTTGATCAGCTCCTTGTTCTATTTCTTTATGTGGCAGGCACAGGCTGTTGATAGTACGGAAAACTCTCTGCCTTATTGGGGGCGGCTCCCTAGTTGAAGGCCTGGTGGAAGAGCTCTGTCTTGCAGGCCCTGCGGAAGTGATCACCCAGAAGGTCCTGAAAAGAGCCTTCTTAGTGGCATTCCACAAACTCAGTGGGAAACGTGTCCTCCTAGATATTCATGCAGCTTCTTATTGGCTGCCCTCCTTCATATGGTTGCTGCAGGAGGCTGATCCCATCCATTTCCTCCCTCCTGCCTTTGCAAAAAGAATGGCAGAAGCGGAATAAAAAGCCAGGAAGGAAGGCTTGAGGCTAGTTCCATAGGAAGTGAGAGATTGGGAGCAGAAACTGCAGAAAGGCCCACCGTAAGAATAATACTATTTGTGGTGAGGCTGCCTATTGTAACTACCCTTAGCTACAAGAACAGTCCATGATTTGAAGAAGTTTACACAAAATGAAGTATAGAATAATCCAGAGTCTTTGGCCCAATCTGCATTTAGCATTTGCTCAGTTGTTTTACCAAACCCACACTGGAACAGAAAAAGATGCAGTTCAAAACCACATTCAGCTATCCCGGGCCAACACCATACTGACTGCAGAGTCACCCCCCCCCCCCCCCCGCCCCGACCAACCGCGCACATTTTGTTTAAAGATCAAACAAAGTGAAAGCAGCATGCAGTCTGGACACTGCCATAAAATGCGACACTCAATCAGAGTGAAAGTGGCATGCAATGTAGATGGGAATTTCTGCTCCAGTGTAGGTTTGGTATAACAGCAGAGCAAATGCTAGATGCAGTGGCCGAATCTGCATTTGCATTTTTAAATCATTTTCGTGCTGCTGTGACGCTGTCTTTCTCTATGCTTGTTTGAATGTTGCTTGGAAAAGATTCTTTTAAAGTAGTGTGGAGGTGCCATGACAGTGGAGTTGCCCTGAAAGGACGATAAACATATGTGGATGTGCAAAAGTATACTAGCACAGTTGAGGTGTGAAAACGACACCAAATGTAGATAGCTTTTTTGAAGATGGAGTCAAAAGGCTGGGATATTGGTGGGAAAGACAAATGCTGATTCCGCCAGAATGTCTCATCTTCATTGGTCTGCATACATCAAGATTAAAGACTGTGATCTCTTGGACTGATTTTTGGATCTCGATTGCTGCACAATTGAGTTGTGAGACCTTGGCTGCGGTCACACGCAACATTAGCCACGCAAGAGATATGGAAGACAAGCGGAGTTTCCGGTCGCGACCTCACCAGCACATCTGGGAAGCGTAGTGCTTCTGTGGCACAACTGAGGCTTCCTGCCGAAAAAGCGCAGCAAAAAACTAGTACCTTGGAGGTACTAGTTTCCAGAAACTGCGGGGCAAGGGCGGGCGTCTGATCGCGTTTCCGGTGGTATCCGGCGCCCGCCCATGTCCCCTTGCGGAAAAGGGTTTTCTTTCCCCCACGTCTCCGTGGATGCGCACACGCACCCAACGGAGCATGCGCATTCGTAGTGTACACAAAAAAAGAAAACCAGTTCGCCGCGCCGCGCGCTTCTTCATTGCGCGCAGGCGTGTGTTGTGATCGGCACCTCTCCCTTGCCATGGAACCTCCACAGTACCTCCACAGAACCTCCACAGTAGGTCTGATCACTTTACTGCATGTTAGTTTGCCCCGGGGCAAACAGCCACACTTCTCCTCTGCAGTTTCCTGCCCGTGTGGCAGGGGCCCTTGATCTGTATGTAGTTCTCTGTTACATGTTTAAATTGATTCTTTGATGTGATATAAGTATTATAGAGTGATTCTCTTACTGGATAATAGCATTGCTTGTATTGTGAATTGAAAATAAGTATTGTGCATTGTGATTCCCTTAAAGAAAGACAGTACATTTTAATATGCTTCATTACTTAGCATCATTTTGGCACAATATTACGATTCTTGTGGATGCACTCTGGCCACCCACCAGCACTTCCCCTGGTGCCCAGCAAGCTTTTCAGAAAGCGGCAGGGACACTTTAAAGCAGGGCTTCTTATTGGCTGCCCTCCTTCAAATGAAAGGGTTTTCCACAACTGCAACAGCAGCCACTGGCACTGGAGGATCCAAAGGACTAGAAAGCATCCAGGCTTTCCTTGCTCAGTGTGTGGTTTCATTCCACCCTCAAGCTTTCCTTCTTGACTTTTTATTCCCCTTCTGCAACTCTTTTTGCACAGGGAGGAGGGAGGAAATACATTGGGTCAGCCTCCTGTAGCAAACATTTTGGAATGGCACTTATAACCTCTTTTCAAAATTCTAAAGGTGCCCACAGGCTCAAAATGTTTGGGGGGCCCTGCTTTAGAGTATTCTGGCTTAACATTTTTGAAATATTGCAGAAGAAGAAAACTGGGCCTCTGAAAGGGCTTCTGCACACTTTGGTAGACACATGCTTTGTAAAAGAGGGAAAAGCAATGGTGTGTGGTGTTTGTGTGTGCTCATGTGATCCCCACAGGGGCTAGTTTTAAGCAAAGGTGAAGTTCCTGGAGCCTCTCTTCCAGTAATGACCCAGAGAAATACATTGGCAGGAATGTGGAAAATCCCTCTAGGCAGGTGCAGACTACATTTAACATCCCCCATCCCCACCCATGAGAAGGGCTGTCAGTGAATTCACAACATATGAGATTAGGGGAAAATCTACTCCATTTTTTTAGGGAATGTCTTAGCCTTAACACGATATTGGAAACTGAACTCCCACAGTCAAAGCATGGACTTCTGGATTTGTTGTGGTGGTAGGTTGCAGGTATCCCTCCCCCATTTTTGCTTTTGCATTAAGTCAGCAATGTGTCTTGATTTCCAGCACTGGCAAATTCCCTTGAGCCGAAGGTTTCGCTCACTGAAACTCTGGTTTGTGATTCGCTCCTTTGGTGTGAAAAAGCTCCAAGCCCACGTCAGACACGTAAGTGAATTATGATTACAGGCGTAACTCTTGTCCATTTCCATGGCAAACTGACTCATGAAGTAATCGTAGTTAGGCTGCAACTGTATAAATAATAAAATGTGTAGGATGTTTTTGCCTGAAAATGCTGACCCTAAGTAACAACAGTTTGTCTATGTTGCTAAATGAGAGGAGAAACCTGACTCCTGACCCCTGCAGCAGTCCAGATACCAGTCACCTCACCAAGGTTGTGGGGTGGTAACAGCTCTGGGGTACCTGGATTTCTGCACCACTGCTAGGTATTAAATACATAATGCTTTGAGGATTGTCAAGGAAAATTGCTTAGGACAATGAGATGGCAAAAGGTAAGGCTGCGTATTATTTTAGGTATACTGTTGAAAATAATAACCGCTTGTGCTTTTTGGAAACCACAGGGCACGGAGATGGCCAAATACTTTGAGTCACTGGTCAGAAGTGACCCCCTGTTTGAGATCCCTGCCAAAAGACACCTGGGACTGGTTGTGTTTCGTTTAAAGGTAAAGCCCATTTTGTTTTCCTTTCTCCTATAAGTTTTGCAGCTAACCCACAAACCAAACAGTCATGAATAATGGGCATAGGGAACAAAACCTAACTAATAGTGGGTCAATAGTGGGAGGGCTTCTATGCTGTGATTCTGTTCAGCCAAGGCTGAAGTCTTCCTTTATCCTAAGGAGCCTCCAAATATAACTGGGCACAGTAGTAGGATACAAGCCTATGCTGGCTTCCCTTGGACTGGTACATCAAATCTGCGCTGCAAGGGAATCATATTTGGTTAAATCAGGAGCAATGTAAGGTGTGCCACTGGTACTCATAAGAACATAAGATCAGGCCAAAGGCCCATCCAGTCCAACACTCTGTCACACAGTGGCCAAAAATACCAGGTGCCATTAGGAGGTCCACCAGTGGGGCCAGGACATTAGAAGCCCTCCCACTATTGACCCCCCCAAGCACCAAGAAGACATAGCATCACTTGCCCCAGAGTCCCTATCTATAGGTAAAGGTAAAGGTTCCCTTGCTCGAAAGCCAGTCGAGTCTGACTCTAGGGTTGCGGTGCTCATTTCCGTTTCAAAGCCGAAGAGCCAGCGCTGTCCGAAGACATTTCCGTGGTCATGTGGCCGGCATGACTAAACACCAAGGTGCACGGAACGCTGTTACCTTCCCACCAAAGTGGTACCTATTTATCTCCTTGCAATTTCTTGCTTTCGAACTGCTAGGTTGGCAAGAGCTGGAACTAGAGATGGGAGCTCACTCCATCATGCGGCAACTCGGGTCTCGAACTGTTGAACTACTGACTTTCCACAGCCTGCAGTTAAGCGTCTTAACCACTTGAGCCACCGCAGCTCCTTCTATACCTTATCTATACCTTGTGGCTAATAGCCACTGATGGACCTCTGCTCCATATGCTTATCTAATTCCCTTTTGAAGCTGTCCATGCTTGTAGCTGCCACCATTTCCTGTGGCAGTGAATTCCATGTGTTAATCACTCTTTGGGTGAAGAAGTACTTCCTTTTATCCATTCTAACCTGACTGCTCAGCAATTTCATTGAGTGCCCACGACTTCTTGTATTGTGAGAAAGGGAGAAAAGTACCTCTTTCTCTACCTGCTCTATCCCATGCATAATCTTATAAACCTCAATCATGTCACCCCTCAGTCATCGTTTCTCCAAACCAAAGAGCCCTAAGCGCTTTAACCTTTCCTCATAGGGAAAGTGTTCCAACCCTTTTATCATTCTAGTTGCCCTATTCTGCACTTTTCCCAAAGCTATAATATCATTTTTAAGGTGTGGTGACCAGAACTCCTTCTGGTTCCAGTGCCAAATTTGATCCTGAATGTAGTACAGAAAGATGCAGGCTTTGTACAAGTCAAGGTCTGTTCTAGGATTTGTGTGAGCCTTTGGGCAAGAAGGGACCTTCCGTTTCATCCTCTCCTAGGATGTGGTAGGTGATGTGGTTTTGGAAAGGAGCAGTACACGCAAAGAGACAACATGCCCACAAGCGTATTTATCTCACCACACCGTTTTTGAGGTTTCCCCTCTCCACCATGAACTTCACTAGATTTTTTTTTTAACCATAATATTTTATTAGGTTTCAACATAAAACATATCGAATACATACAGGTTCTCAAGCGTCAATGTAGCAAAAACAACCTGAATAAATCAAGCAGTGTACAAGTGTCCAGCCTCTCTTAAACATATATTGGTAAAAGCGAACTAACTTAATAACAGTAATGAGTATTTTGCTTTACTGCTAGATTCCCAATTAAAAGAATCGAAGGTCAACTTATCAACAATTGGATACCATTTACCGGTTGGGTTTAACAGGTCACATTCATTTTGATTATTTGTATTAAAAATCGAAACGGTTTCAAATAAAAAATATCCCCAAACTTTAGAAAGCCATAGATTAATTGTCGGAGGACATTTATCTTTCCATTTTTTGGCAATACTATTTTTTGCCGCCGTAAGGAGTATATTTATCAATTTTCTCTGTTTATTAGGAATTTCAGTCTCCGGCCAGAGATTTAATAACATCAATTGGGGATCTAAAGAGATGTCACAACCAGTAAGAAACAAAATTTGAGATTGTACTTGAAACCAAAATTTAGAAATAAATCTAGAATTTATAGGATTCTTTGTGATAAAAATATTGATGCTCATCTTAGCTATCAAAAAGCATGGTGTGCAGATCTTAATATCCAGTTAACTGACGACCAATGGTCCTCTATTTGGAGAACACAGATTTCCTTATCCAAATAATCAGAAATCCTTGAAACCTCTTTCAAAGTATTGTCACGCTGGTATCTAACTCCGGTTACACTCTCACACATGTCTGCATCGATCTCCCCTCTTTGTTGGAAACTCTGTGGGGAAAAGGCGACTTTGTATCATACTTGGTGGTCATGAACCTCACTGGATAATCTCCAGCCAGCCGTGTGCTTGCATCCTAACTGACCTCACAATGCTGGTGCAAGAATAAAACGAGAAGGGGGGAACGATGCACACACCCTGGGAGCCTTGGAGGAATAGCAGGAAAAAAACCTGTGGTAGATTTTCCAGTGAAAAGACGACAATGCTAGAAAAAGTTGGAGAGAGTAGGAAAAGAAGAAGACCCAACATGAGATGGATTGACTAAATCAAGGAAGCCACAAAGGCCCTCCGTTTGCAAGACCTGAGCAAGGCTGTCAGTGATAGAATGTTTTGGAGGTCATCCATTCGTAGTTAATTCATAATTAATTGATTACTTCAAAACTTTAATTATACAGCTTTACAGATTCCTAAAAGGGCGAGAGACCTTCAGGGGTGTTGTTGATCTCTATATAAATGGTTGTAGGGAAGATGGACTTTGCCTTGCTTTGTATTAGTGTGAGGTTGAATTTTAAGTGAACCCTAAATGAAGAACAAAGTTTGAGTCCAGTGGTACCTTTAAGACCAGCTAACTCTGGGTATGCACGCACACGAAAGCTTATACCCAGAATTAAACTTTGTTGGTCTTAAAGGTGTCACTGGACTCAAACTATGTTCAGTTGCTTCAGACCAACATGGCTGCCCTCCTGAACCTAAACTAAGAAGATGTGGTTTGGAATTCAGATTGCTATTTAAGCCATCTGAGAGAACTAAATAGCCATTAGGGGTAGACTGATGAAGTGTATAAGCCCCGTGCAAAGTTAGAGCATGCTCCTGGGTCCACCTGTGGAACAAAGATGGCAGTGGGTCCAGCAGTAGTCCCCAAAACCTGTTTTTGCTTCTGGGAAGCATCCAGTGCAGTGTAGTGGTTAAGAGTGTCGGGACTAGCCTATGGAGAATCCAGGTTCAAGTCCCCCCTCATGCCATGGAAACTCGCTGGGTGACCTTGGGGCAGTCACACTCTCTCAGCCTAACTTACCCCACAGTGTTGTTGTGAGGATAAGATGGAGAAGAGAAGAATGGGTCCCCATCAGGGAGGGAGGTGGGATATAAATGAATTAAATAAACAAATAAATAATAAATAGGTTTGCCGACCTCTACTTTATTTTATTTATTTATTTTATGACATTTATACCCCGCCCTCCCCTCTAGCTTTTATATCAGCCCAGCTCTTTGCTGGGTGTCCCAAATGAGAATGACCCACAGACATCTGTAACCTGTTGACTTCGCTGTATTGATTGCCTAGAGAATTGGACACTTGTATGAAATCGAACTAAGTACTTTAACGACAAATAATAAATACCTCACCCAAGGAGGCCTTTATACAAATTTGCAGCATTGATGCTTTGACTCAAACAAAAGCCATTCAGGTGTTCAGGTGACTGTCCAGGTCAACAGTGAATTTAGGTTACAATTGGCATTTGCTGCTTTCCCCCAGCTTGGGGGGGAGGGAAGAAGAGGGAGCAAAGTTGTATGGCCCTCAAACTTGTGTTAGTTCCCCACACTTACGATTAATAGGGGTCAGCACAGATTCCTGGACCAATCAAGGGGGAACTGGTTTAGAAAAAATCCATGTCTTGCCGGGAAAGGTTGCCTCTATGTTTTGAGATGCACCAGCATGTGGATTCATACAAATACCTGACTTTTAAAACAGGGCCCTAACTGGATGACGGAAAAGGTCTTAAAAGATCTGAACAAGTCGGGTAGCCTCTTCCTCATCCCAGCAGTGATTCAAGACAAGTTCATCATTCGCTTTACTGTAACGTCTCAGTTTACAACCCAAAAGGACATCCTGCGAGACTGGAGCCTCATCCAACGTGCTGCGGTACAAGTCTTTGACCTGTGTCGTACTCCAAAACCTGTTACCTCAGAGGAAGTCCCTGGCGCGATAAGCAGCCCCAGTCCTAAACCAACTGGTGTCACTTCCCATTTTTTCCTGGAGAAAGGTGAACGCAGGATGTCATCGCCAAGACGAGTAACGGCACAGCCACGAAGGGCATCTCTCGGTTCTGCAGGGTGGTTGTCCACTGAGCATGCTCGAGTGCCTGGGGAGCCTCCTTTGGAAGACACTTTTGTAGAGGATGGCCTGAATACCACCAGCCTCTCGAACTTGCCTGCGCACAAGAAAAAGACACGCTCCCTCAGTGTGCCAACAGCAGGCCTGTGGGAGCCAAGCTGTTCAAAGGTGGCAAGCTTCGAGGGCTCTGGGAAGAGTGCGTTTAACACCACTGAGAAATTCCTTTCCAAGTTGCCGGAAGAGGTGCTGATGCTCGAGAAAAGTGCCTTCAAGAAATTCTTGAAATTTTACCGTGTTCCTAGTTTCCCCGAATGCACTGTTCAGTGCGGCCTCCAGCTGCCTTGCTGCCCCCTGCAAGCCACCGTCTAGTGCCTTAGCTCCTGTGGCCTTCCCCAAGTAGGCGAGAACCAAAGTCTGCTTATTCTCATGCAATACAATTTATGACCCGGTTCGATACTTAAAAGAATGGGAATATTCATTTCAGAAGACTGTGCTTGTGTCACTTTTTAAAGAACCTGTATATTTATAAGTTTAAGGTATAAATAAAAGTTATTTAGCATGGCATCGAAAGTTTCACTTTTCTTTTTGGAACCCTGCTTCCATTCGTTATGCATGGTAGGCGAGTCTTCACATATTGGTTAAACTACTTTAACATTCAGAAAAATCTGAATGTTGCAATCCTGTACAAACTGCATGAAAACAAGCTTATGTTGAATAAAGGGCCACTAACTGGCAGATCTCTCAATTTTATCCTTTCTAGCTGCAGAGTGCGCCCATATGCTATCCTCCCTAACAGTCTCCAAACAATCTATTAGTTGGCTATTTAGCTAGCCGAAAGCTGATATGTGCTGTCAATGCACACCAGAGTTTAAGAGGTCAATCAGCTATCTCTGGACACAAATCAGAAGACCCAATCCAGTGAGTTCTAGGCCTTCAGTTCAGAGATTGCTGTTATGTGTAAACCCATTCTGGGACACACACACTTTATTTTAAGCTGGAAAGTAGAACATGGTTGGATCAGTATCAAAAAACAAAAAGCTTAAGCTATACCCATGTCATTGCTCTCAGGTGGAATACCAGTGAAGCTAATCCTGACCTCAGTGCCAAGTTCCATCGCTAATTCTCCACTAAACTCTTAAGATCACTCATAATGGCATGTTGCTATTTAGAAAGTGCAAACTATGTCTCTTATTAGCCCCATGACTATTCTGCAAGGTGTCAGCAAGCTGCCATTCTGTTTTCTGTGACCTCTGTGTACATATTCATTCCCTGTTGCACCCGGCTTGGTTTCTATCATCCTGCTCCTGCGTTGGAATGCAAAAGATAACTGCTGGAGGTTGTGTGGGGGAGAAGATGCTGTAATGCTTGGCTATTGCTTTTCCCATGACTACTGCACCTGTGTTATGTCTAATATCCTGCCTGGTTCCCATGGACTGGGCGCGCAACCGTTCCATTAGCCCGCCAGCGGGAAAGTTATTCATTGGACCTGTATCTCTTTGAAGTTCCTTTATTATGCTTGAGCTAACTGTGTATCCCCAGTTCTAACAAAGAACGTGTTTGAGTATGTCGTCAACGCTTTGAAATAAATTTTGCTTTTCTTAAAACGTGGATTTATTCTCGATGCTTGGGGATCCAACATATTGTTAGAACTCTCTTTTTCCTATCGTTCCGAATCTGGCGAGATCATGAGCGGAATTGAGGGAAACCTACCTACCACGGAGGGGGACTCTGGATCGGTCCCACAAACCTCCGCGTCTTTGGTGTTCACGACTGCAGCCTCGTTGGAGGGTGCCGTGGGGGGAGCGATTCCCCGCCTGCCTGCACATCTGTCTTGGCCGCCTCCGACCCCTTCGCAATGGGGTCCGCGGAAGACTCACCAGCAGGATGATTGGACTATGTACAACACCCAGGGCACCCGTGAGGTGTACTCCCGTCGGGGGAGCGGATTACGTGAGAGTCTATTTGACAAGGGATTGTTCCCGGAGCCGGGGTCTACCTCGGAGAAGGGGAGCCCCGAGCGGGACCTCGAGGAGTGGATGTTCGAGCCGTCGGGACCGCGGGGCCACGCAGGAGATGAGGAGGGCACCGGAGTCTTCCCAACGGAAGAGGACTATGACCCACCCCCGGACTACCGCCCTCGGGACCCCATCCCGGAAGAAACCACCGGGGAACGACTAGCAGAACTGGAAGACTCGGTGAGAGACTTGTTGCGGGCATTCCAGGATGTGATGGAAGGTCTGCCGGGAATGATGGACGTTCGAATGGCTAATTTCCTTGACGCACACGCCGCGCAGCAACAAGTTGCTCCTGCACCGGGACTTCCCGCGCCGCCGATGCCTGCTCAACCGCTGACGGGACCACCGCTGCAAGCACCGGGAGTTCCAGCGCAGCAGGTCCC